AAAAAAAAAAAAACAGAAGCATGAAAGAAAAGTTTTTATATTCTTCCATATTTAGTGTTCATCAAACCAATATGTATTTGATTGAACACAACTCTGTTTGTTTAAAGATAAAAAAAATTGTAAAGAATTTCAACTAATTGTTGTCCATCAAATTTATAATATTTACTTCAATTTAGTTACTGTTAAAAAAGCAAAAGATCAAATAAGAAGTCTCAGTTGTAATAAATTGTTAGCTATTTACAAAATATAATTATAGTTCAACTCATGTAACAAATAGATATTCATGTGTCGTTATAAATATATACATATTTACATGTTTCAGTTTAATCGGTTATAAATCAACCATATCCAAATCCTATGGTTTTTATAAAATCACATTCATTCGGTTTGTAAGGTATATACCAAAACTAACCATATTATCGATTGTTAATATCTTTTAAAAATATAAAATTAAAAAAGAACTAAGATATTTAAATCATTGATAACAAAAATTTTCAATGTGAAAAATTTAATAAGTTTGTAATTTATAAATGTTCTTGAAAATTTATTGAAAATTTTGAAATTAAAATATTTATGTAATCTTATATGGTATATAGTTGAATCTGTCTATATATTTGTTTTATTATTGAATGATACTTACTTATATGGTTTTAAAATCATGTATATCTTTTTATAATAAAAATGTTAAACTATTGATCATTAATTTTTAACATAATAATTTTAATAGTTTAGTTCTTTATTCTCGTTTTTAAAAATTCAAAATATAACTTATACGAAAAAATCGAAAGTTTAACATAAATTCCCAAGTTAACATATTAAGTTTTACATTTTACATATACACTTGCCTTTACCATTAAGTATGTACTTGGTCACAAAGTAATTTACATTTTACATATACACTTCCATAAATTAAAAGGAATGAAGTTATTATAGTTAATATATGCAAATCGTTATCAAATCGTATATTTTCCTTTTCTTCCATTACATGCGTGCGATATATATAAATATATAAACTATGTTACATGCGTTATATGCGTCTCTAATTATTTTTCCCTAGCAAATTTCAATTGAACCTAAAGCTGCNAAATATATAAACTATGTTACATGCGTTATATGCGTCTCTAATTATTTTTCCCTAGCAAATTTCAATTGAACCTAAAGCTGCCACGTCAGTTTAATTGGTATGCTAATTGATTGACAACTAAGCAAGGTTACTTTTTAATTAATACAAACTTGAGGTTACATCTTTTCAAATGTTTCTCAATTAATATATAGGGGATAAGTATAAGATAAGTTGAACCAATCACAATCATATAAGATAAATATGAATTAACACATAGTTGTTGATTAATATTGGTAGTAATTTAATCACTTACTCATCTATTTGCAATGTTCATGTATACCATATTATTTAGTAGATTTGAGAGTATTTAGAAAATCAAAACTATCAGCACAATCTGAAATATAATTTATATATCGAAATTAAAAACAAATTATGAAATAAATTTATAATTTTTTTTTGAAAAATATAAGAAAATAATTTGAAACTTTTAAAACTCGGATCAAAATCGAGTAATGAGTTTATAATCACACTTTAATATTGATGAAATTATTAGTTTGTTTAAAATCTATAGCAGAGAAGATCGTACTGTGAGGTAGTAACGTATTATTAATGCGCCAGCGAGATACCCGGAGAAATAGTTAACAAGATCACATGGGATCGTGAAGTATATAACTGTATCTTTAACCGATCCACACAACACAAGATGCACATGATCAAACCATCTTTATAATTAAAAACCACATTACTAAATAATTATTAAAAAAATCGATTAAACCTTTCAATTAAGAAATTAAAATCCCTACACCTTAATTAATCCATAACTAAAAAAAGCAAAGGAAAAAAAAAAAGATTAATCCAGTTTAATCGATAAAACCTAAAATCGCATCTATATACAAAAACAAAGAAACGATTCCTCGCCGTTAAATCAAGCTCGACCGTTCATCATCATCTTCTTAAACTCCTCAAAGTTAACACAACCGTCACCGTCAGCATCAACTTTGCTAATGATCCTCTTACATTCCTCAAGCGAACACTTCTCGCCGAGATTCTTCATCACCGAGTGAAGCTCGTTCACGGAGATCCGTCCGTTACCGTCCAAATCGTACAGATCAAACGCCTCCTTGAGATTTTGAATATCGCCGCCGCCGTCTTCGATCTGGAAGAGAGCGACGAACTCGTCCATGTCGATGTATCCGTTACCGTCGAGATCGAACTCTTTCATCATCAGCGTCGTCTCTTCCGGCGATGCATTGGGACTGAGAGCTCCGATCACGTCTTTGAGCTCGTCGATTGAGATTTTTCCGTCTCCGTTTTTGTCGAACCGTTGGAATACTGCTCGGATGTCTTCCATTGATCCTAAGCAGTTTCTAGCGCCGCTCTTCGACATTGCTGCAACAGAGAGGAAAGAGAGAGGAGAGATTGTAGAGAGAGAAAAACTGAGAGAGTAGAAGGAGTTGGTTTCGTATATATAGGGAAGTGAGAATGATATAACGCGGTTTTGAAAAAAAGATTGCGTGAGATAGAGTACAGAATATTAATTCTGATTTTTAATATGATTTTAAAAATATTTTTGTTAAAGTCATACTGAAAATAATTGTTAATTTACTTATTTATTGGTACGATTGTGATTTTATGTCAACAGGATATCTTTGTTTTTTTTGTATACATGATTCTTTTTAGATTATATGACATTTTTCTTGATATCATTCTATTTTTGAATATGTAAAGTTCTGATTTTGTTCATAAAAAAAGTTCTGATTATAGTAATATATCTCAGATAAAGATAATGATTTTTTGACATTAGATAAAGATAATGATGTATATATTAGATCTTTTATGTTAACTGAATATTTTATTAGTTAGTTTCCAAGATTTGTTTAGATTCTACAAAATTTTTGGTATTAAATCTTAATTGATATATGTATTTAAATCTTCTAAGGATTTTTATTCTAGTTTTTCTGTTAATATGATATTTTATAGTTTGAATTTTAGGATACATAATTCTGTTCGAGTATTTTCCTATTAAACTCTTGATAAGTCACTCTTGTGTTTAAGTCATTTGTTATTTTAATTATAGTAAATAATCGTCCACAGAATAGTAATATATTAGATTTTTATCTATCTTTTTAATTTTATTTGAGTGTAATATGTTTTTTTTGTTATTAATAAATAAATATTGATATACATTATAAGTAAATCAAGATATGGGATATTCTTGCATCTCAATCTTTGTTTATCCTCCAAATCTTGTATTCCTATATATATATCTATGATTACCATTGGAATAATATAACACAATTATCATCTTTATTTTCTCATTATTCACAACATTTTAAAAATTATAAAAATCAGTATTACTCTTTGATAACATATGTTATGGGCATTTGGATTAGTGATTTGAAGCGATTTCATTTTTAAATTCTCCTTTATTAGATTAAATTTTAGAAATATTATCTGAAATTTAAGATTATTAAATTAATCAGTCTATAAAAATAATATATCAATTTATCAGAGATGAATTTTTTCAGTAAAAAGATCTAAAAGAAAAAAAAGGTTAAAATTAATGATTAAAATACCACATTATATGAGCTATTTGAAAATTTTAAAGAAAAATATCATTATTTATTTTTAGTTTAAATCTTCAAAATACAAAACTTTACAAGTGAGATAATCTTTTGCCTTATGGCTCTACATCAATCATGAGGAATCCCATAATCTCAAGTCCGTCGAATCTTGTTGTTACACTCGAGATTACTTTGAGTTTAAACAATGTTTTTTTGAGTTACAAAAAAGAACTTGTGATAATTCGTGTATTGCTTGGAGGCTTTCCCAGGCGATCTTTTTATCACCAAACCTATGTTTGATATTTGCTAATATGCTCTTTGAATACTAGCTATCCTAACAGTATTTTTCATACAAACTAAATAGATATGACCGATGATAAAGGATCACTAATGTGATAAATTTCTTTCCGAATCATATTACGACACTATCAATTTACTCCATCCTTTTGTAACGCTCCAACTTTCTTAAATACTGCTTTTATTGACCATTCGACGCTTATTGTATGTTATTATGTGATGACATCGCAAAATCTGCAAATCAGTTTGTGTGTTTATTGGCATGGTGAATTAGTTTGTGTGTGTGTCGTAGTTCGTGTAATTGGCCCTCGTCCCGCAGAAAGCTTTTTGGCGATACTACCTACCAATATCTAAAAAACATCGACCAAGAAAAAACCCACAAAATGAAAAGATATTCGTTAACCAACAAAGTCTGTGAAAACATTTAAAAAAAAAGCTACTAAACTCAATCAAAAGATCGAATCATTTTTTTTTCTAGATAGTTAAAGGTTATATCACACCTTTCTTCTTAGCTTCTTCTTACGTTACCTTACCATATGTATCACTTAGCCATCATAATCTTGACAAACTCCTCGTAGTTAATCTGACCATCTCCATCAACATCAGCTTCACGGACCATCTCCTCAACTTCTTCATCAGTCAGCTTCTCACCTAGATTCGTCATGACATGGCGGAGCTCAGCAGCGGATATGAATCCGTTCTGGTCTTTGTCGAACACCCTGAAAGCTTCTTTGAGCTCTTCCTCGGAGTCAGTGTCTTTCATCTTTTTAGCCATGAGGTTTAGGAACTCAGGGAAGTCAATGGTGCCGTTTCCATCAGCGTCTACTTCGTTGATCATGTCCTGGAGCTCAGCTTCTGTTGGGTTCTGTCCTAGAGACCTCATCACTGTTCCCAGCTCCTTGGTAGTGATGCAACCTGTTCCCATCAGTCAGACAATATTGAGACAATCAAGTAGATTCCATAACAGAATCAGTTAAAACATATGCAACATAATTGAAAACTAAGTCTGGTGATAAATGTATATAAAACATGAATCAAACAAGGCCTTGTCATAAATATGTGTCAAATGATTCTCTTTTGAGTTACAGAAGCCAACAAAACAGCCAAAAACTATTAAAAGATGCCAGAAAGAAGTAGAATTTGAGAATCTTTTCATCATTTGCAAAACACACAATGGCTGTTAACTTCTTTTAGGAAGCTAAACACTAACTGAGAACTTAAACCTGTGACAACATACCTCTTTAAAGTGCTAAAGAAGAAAAAAATTAAGAGAGGATCAGAGAAAGAGTCGAAGTAAAGAAGCAGGAAACATGATTTCTGCAAACAACACTCAAAGAAAACCTGAAATTGGTTACAAGCAAGTGTTGAATCGCAATCTCTAACGTAATTTCATTATTCACACATGATGGTTAGCTTCTATAAAGAAACTTAACCATATATCAGAAGTTAAACATGTGGCGACATATCTTGAACAAGAAAAAGAAGGACAATTTTTGAGCTTTGATTGAGAGAAAATAAAGCAGAAAACATGATTTTTGAATAGTATTGAATGTTGATGCAAAATACAAACAAAGACCACCTGAATTTGGTTACAAAGGAACTGTTGAATCGCAGTAATATTGAGTATTCTTCCTAGTGAGAAACCAAAAGAGAGATCATATATTTACTAAGCCAAGGATCCGCAATCAACACAACGCAGCTTCGAAGAATCATCATGATAGGAACAATCAAGAAAGATACAACATCATCAACCAAATCTAAGCCCAAACACGACATCAAAATCAAATCACAGATGAGAACCAAACAATCGGTAAAATAACCAATGAAGAAGCGATCACACGAATCAGAGTAAATAAGATATGAATCTGCGGACGATTAAAGCATCGATCCGAAAAGCGAGATACAAACCATCGCCATCCTTGTCGAAGAGGCTGAAAGCTTCCTTGAACTCGGAGATCTGTTCTTCCGTTAGCTGATCCGCCATTTCTTTTTGATTCCACCAAATGCTCTCTCTTTTCTCCGAACGCTGTGTAACAAAATATCTCACCAAACCGACAAATATAATTATACGATGACAAAGCAGAAAAAAGTTTAAAAAGGAAAGTAATAATTTTAAAAGCTAGGAAAATTGTACACTATTTATTTATTTTGCCAACAAGAAATTGTACACTACTATTATGTGGCCCTTGTTCATCCTCACTATAACTTTTCAAAATATTGAGATTGGATCTTAATTCTTTTTAATAGGTAATAATTAAACATGATTACAGCTAAGCTCATTACTAAGATTGTCCACAACTTTGGAGCTATTCTTAGTTTATCAAGAAGTATCGTAAAATAGTTTTAAAAACTTCATGATATCTTTTATGGTTTAGACTTTTAATAGATTTTTTGCTTGATTGTATCCTCAGTTTTCTTATTTGTCCCTTATTCAGTAGCTTGTATACTTCCACTGGTTGCAATTGTATCTTCTAAATAACCAACAAGAAATCGACATAGTGGCTAAAACTCTTGAATTACCTAGTAAAGATCTAATGTGTCATATTTTTGGTTCTCATTGGGAGAGATCTGCTCTCATATAAGGAGAACTAATTTAAAATTGGTTTGGATTTCACCTTAGAAGATCTATAGACTTTCGGATCCCGAACCTCTAGAAAAAAGTTGTGTCTTCTCAATATCCTTGCTATGCATTAGTAGTCCATTATTAAGTTGGATACCTTCTTCACGATTGTTGTGTCGATTCGCTGATTTGCGAGATGAAGACACTATGTATCGAAATGTAAAAGTTGTAAAAGCTCATAGTCTCCGTATTTGGAGTTTGAGAGAAAATCTTGAATCCATGTTTCAAGTTGCTGCAGTTAGAATAAAGATTTTGGAGGTCATCATGGCAACATTCCAATTAAAATGGCGCTTCACAATACATATTATCTGAATCCTTACTGTCAAAGAAATTTCCTTATCCACATAAAACTGAACACTTATCTACATCTCAGTTGGTCTCCCCTGAGTTGGTACAATAATTCTGAACTTCATCAACTTAGTTCAACTTGAAGCCAATACTTTTGACGATTTGTTTTGTGTATGGTACTATGATACTAGAAGATTGGGTAAGTTATTTATCTGAATAACAATAGCTTGGGGTCGAGTTTGGTCAATGCCCATTAGAGACATTCAGGTCGAGCTTGGTCGAGGACCATAAGGAAAACGAGGGACCTTCTGGTCGAGCTTTGTTGATGACCATGACTGACCTTCGGATCAAGTGGTTTTAGGCCGTATGTTACTTTCATGCCACATGTATCTTTGGACCATAAGTGATTATTGGGATTAGAAATTCATAGAAATATAACTAAGTATTTGGAAATATTTAAGTGAGTCAAAAATAAATAAATATGAAAATAAAAACAGATTAATAGATTGCAAAAATGGATCTTATAGCTTGACAAAGCTGTTTTTATATTGTGTTGCACATGTGAGTGGTATATTGAATGTTATCACTAGTAATTGTATAGTCATATGCTTTTTTGTGATGCCACTGAGGATCAATTATTTGGACTCCAGCAAGAGATTATTGAAACCATCGAGAATCGAGTGTTATGAACTTGGATGTAATTTTTTATCAAAGTGCAATTTAAACATTCTTATTATATATGCTTATAGTATTTACTTAGAATTTACAATGATTTTTTGAAAATTTTTTATCGATGTGTTTAAAAAAATGGTTTATTTTAGTAACTTTAAACTCTAATCCCACCAAGAAAGTTTTATAAAAAAAAAAAAAATCCCACCAAGAAAGAGAGAAGAAAACATAAGGGTAGAGGATAATGAATCAAAAACATTTAAGCATTTGGTTTGATTGTAACTTTTTGCTAATTTATATTTGAGAAAGAAAGAAAATGACTCAGAACTAATTAGTCTAGTTTTCCCATAAATTATTATGACCCTCATCATCTCGTGGTCGTGGGCTCTGGTCTTGTCCCTCTTTGAGCAATTAACAGCACCTTTACCAACTAATCTTTCTAAATCAATAAGAACTCATCGCTATAACAATTATATTCAAACAATTAATTAATACCCAATTATCATCTTCCAACTGTAATCCTAACAATTATTCAAAATAATTAATATATTCGCAATTATCTTCCCCCCCCTCCACTCTTTTTCTTTGCTCCAACATCACACCAACATCAAACAACACACTGACGATTTAATTCATCTTTCTTCTTGAAACTTTTCTTTCATTTTATAAATGCTGAAAAGTGCTATAAGCAAAAGCTTTAAAGAATCATCTTTTCACTTTCCAAAAATCAAAAGAGAAAACTTGTCACTTTCTTTCTTCCTCTCTTTTTCTTTTTGTTCTTGTTTTCTGTGTATTTGATTTGTGATCTTCTTCAGATCTCTTTAGTAATACCATTTTGAAAAGAAGAAAAAAAAAGAAATGATTCTTGATTTGGGTTTCGCTTGTTTTTTCTCTGATCGAACCAGAGAGATCTCTCATGAGCACAACAAAGCTTGGCTTTTGGAGGAAACAGGACCAAAGCTTATGGACTCAGACCCGTATTCAGGACAGTCGTCATTTAGGTTTAGTCTTTGCTCACAGGTGGAGCTTGAGAAGATGAGAAGAGAGGAACCATCATCGTCTTGTCGGAATTTTCAGGTGTCTGAAGGATCAGCGACCGTTCTTCTGGTGAATGAGGTTAAGGAGACAGATAAACCGACGGTTGAGATGAATTGGTCGACTGCTCTTTCACTTGAGAAGAGTATTTCTCCAGTGGCCAATACCTTGATCCGGTTTAGCTACAGCGAACTTGTCACCGCCACTCGTAATTTCTCAAAAGGTAAACCCTAAACTCCAAAAATAGTCTTATTTGTTCCACACGAAACAAATGAGTTTTGTGATCCTCTGTTGTAATTTTGGTTAGGGAGAGTGTTGGGAAGAGGAGCTTGTAGCTGTGTATATAGGGGCAGAATGGGAATTTGGCGAAAAGCCTTGGCTATCAAAAGACTTGACAAAGAAGATACAGAATCTCCAAAGTCGTTTTGCAGAGAGTTGATGATTGCAAGCTCTCTTCAGTGCCCTAACATAGTGCCTCTTCTAGGGTTTTGTATAGATCCTGAACAAGGACTTTTCTTGGTGTACAAGTATGTCTCTGGTGGCAGCCTCGAACACTATTTACACGGTAACTACTCTTGAGTTGATTTTCACTCTTTCCTCCGTCTGTGTTAGAGATTGATGGTTTTTTTTTTTTGCTCCTCTTCGAAATTTAGATAAGAAAAAGAAGAAGAGAGGTGTTAAGGTTCCCTTTTGTTTGCCTTGGTCAACAAGGTACAAGATCGCCTTAGGCATTGCAGATGCCATATCCTATTTACATAACGGCACTGAGCAATGCGTTGTGCATAGAGACATCAAACCCTCCAACATTCTTCTTTCCTCAAACAAAAACCCAAAGGTAAAGAGAACTTAAACCACTCCTTTTGGGCCATTCATCAGTGTTCTGTTTAACCCTAATTTCTATATTTGGGTTCTTTCAGTTGTGTGATTTTGGGTTGGCAACTTGGACAGCAGCTCCTTCGGTTCCTTTCCTGTGTAAGACCGTGAAAGGAACTTTCGGGTATCTAACTTGAAAAACCATTTTTAATCCCATTAAAGTCAGTACTATATATAGAAATAAAAATATTTTGGGAAACTTGTTGTAGTTATCTAGCTCCAGAGTATTTTCAACACGGCAAGATATCAGACAAGACAGATGTGTACGCGTTTGGAGTCGTGTTGCTTGAGCTAATAACGGGTCGAAAGCCTATTGAAGTAAGAAGACCACCTGGTGAAGAAAATTTAATAGTTTGGGTAAGTGTCTTCTTATCTTTTACTTTTCTGATAACTACTACTAAACCAACCCTATTTGACTTGTAGCAACTTAAATTCCACAAGCTTCCCCACTAACTTTTTTCTAAATATGGTAAATTACCATCCTAATTTCCAACCAAATGCCATATAATTTGTGACATAGCCTGCTAAATTCAGGTTTCAGTCAAGCTTGGTTGAGCTACAAATTTTGGTTCAACTGTTCACGGTTAACCAAAGTCTCTGTAATATTAATGTCGTTCCAACGTCACTCGAACCGGGACTTCTGACACAAATACAGTGCTGGTCCAACATTTTCATTTTTCTCTGGATGCCCTAAGTTCACTTAAAACTTTTTACTTTTATTATTCATATAATTTTTTTTTATTATATCTTATATAAAACTAAAATTATAATTTAAAATAATGATGTCCTAAGCGGTCTTTTAACTCGCTTATGCTCAGGACCGGTTCTGCACAATGACCAGGGTCCTTGTCTAATACAGGAAGGGTCAAGTGTAGTTAAACGTGTCTAATAATTGGGGTTTTTGGCAGGCGAAACCGTTGTTGCATAGGGGGATGGGGGGTATAGAGGAGTTGCTGGATCCAAGGCTGACATGTACTAGAAAGAACTCAGTTTCAATGGAACGTATGATCCAAGCAGCAAGAGCATGTGTAATGGATGAGGAGTCACGTAGACCTGGAATGAAAGAGATTGTTTCGATTTTGAAAGGAGGTGAAAGCAGGAGAATAGAGCTAAGGACGTTTTCAAGCAGGACGAAGTCAAATCTTTCGAGTTTAATGGAATGTTATCCGCAGTTGCAACGGACAAAATCTGAGATGAAGAGTCATCTTGCTCTTGCGATGCTTGGAGTAACAGATTTTGAAGACGGTGCTGATGATGTTCTTTTGTAGAGAAGGTAAAATAGATAGTTGCAAGAACTGAAGAAGATGATATAAGTGTGATTTTCTGTGTGTCAGTGTAAATGATTTAAACTTAATTACTTCTGTATAAATATAATTAAGCTTTCTGAGATCCACTAGAAATTCTCACTGGAGTAGTAGCATTGAAGCTTTCACGTTTAGGTTTCCTGATCCGTTTTCCGGTCATCTCCGTCTTCAGTTAAGACATTGGGGCGGAGTCGACAGAAGTAGCGGACACGAGAGGCAAATGTTTAACATGAAAAATGTGAGAGGAGCTTACCGTTGGGGCTGTTTCTGATATGTGATTCTTTGTCTCTGGTTTGATTATTTCTGTATTACCACCATCTAATACACTGAACATACAACTATGTTACAACAAACAACCAATACATATTTGATCTTGGTAAGGAATGGATTTGGTTTCATCAGATTACATATTGGTAAACGTGAATTTCTGGATGCGTTTTAGTTACTCAAGTGTTATTAAATAAAATATTGAATATGTGAAATTAATCAGATTTAAGTACTTTAGGTGGTTTAAGAGACTTGGCCAAAGAAGTGATGTTAGCAAAGGAGGTTGAGCAGGGGGCTACAAGTATTGGGAGTAGAGTCGAGATAATGGTAGGATGGACACCTCCTTCGTTGGGATGGATGAAGCTTAATACAGATGGAGCATCGCATGGGAACCCCGGGCCGGTTTCGGCAGGAGGTGTATTACGTAACGGTGATGGTGAGTGGTATGGTGGATACGTTTTCAATATTGGGAGATGCTCTGCTCCGTTGGCAGAACTCTGGAGAGTCTACTATGGATTGGTAATTGCTTGGGAAAAAAGTATAAGAAGGTTGGAGTTGGAAGTGGATTATAAAATGGTGGTGGAGTTTTTGACGATAGGGATTGGTGATACTCATCCGCTGTCTTTTCTGGTGCGTCTGTGCCATGGCTTATTATTGAGGGACTGGTTGGTCCGGATAGTTCATGTTTACAGGGAAGCAAATCACTTAGCTGATGATTTGGCTAACCTGGCTTTTTCTTTATCGTTTGGTTTCATAGACTTGACGATGCACCATTAGAGGTCGCTACTAGATTGAGAGAAGATGTTGATGGACCATTACGGCCACGACATACTCGTTTGTAGTTTGATTCTTGTTCTTTAATAAATATTAGGAGGTTTCTTCTCCCAAATTCCTACCAAAAAAAAATGATGAATTTGTTAAGATTAGGGGGCTTAGAGACGAGAATAAAAGTTTGGGGAGATTGAGAGAGAGATTAAAAAATTGAGGGAGTCTAGTGAAGTCAGTCAACCCATTTGATCTTCCTCTCTAAGAAATATTCAAAAGTAAGAAGGTTGAAAAACTTTCCTTTCCTTTTTTTATCTTCGAAGTCCAAACTCATCTCTGATTCTATAATTTGAATCATGGCTTCTTCTTCTTCTTCGCCTCGTACGTGGAGATACGGTGTCTTCACGAGCTTCCATGGACCTGATATTCGTAAAACATTTCTCAGTCATCTACGCAAACAGTTTAACTTCAATGGGATTACAATGTTCGATGATCAAGGGATCGAGAGAAGCCACACCATCGCCCCTGCTCTCACACGAGCCATCAAGGAATCGAGGATCTCCATAGTCGTGCTATCCAAGAACTACCCTTCTTCTGGCTGGTGCTTAAACGAATTGGTGGAGATTTTGAAATGCAAAAAGGACATTGGACAAATAGTGATGACGATATTCTACGGAGTAGATCCAAGTGATGTCCGGAAACAGTCAGGAGAGTTTGGGAACTCTTTCAAGAAGACTTGTTGTCGTAAAACAGAGGAGGTTACGCGGAGATGGAGCCAAGCTTTGAATGATGTGGGCAACATAGCCGGAGAACACTTTCTCAACTGGTTTGTTATTAGTTTTGTTTAATTTTTTTTTCTCATACACACAGATACACACTATACCAGACTTTCAGGAGTTGAGACCAATGTTTCATTCGGCTTTGACCAGGACCGGCCCGACTCTGGATACAGAGAAATGTTTTTTTTTTTTTTACATTTTGTTTGTTGCTTATGGCTGCTTGATGAAAACAGTGCGTTCTGTTTTTTTTTTGGTAGGGATAATGAAAGCAAACATGATCGAGAAGATTGCACGAGATGTTTCAGACAAACTAAATGCTACACCGTGTAGTGATTTTGTTGGGATGGTGGGACTAGAAGCTCATTTGAGGAAAATGGAGGCTTTGCTAGATCTAGATTATGATGGAGTTAAGATTGTTGGAATCTCTGGTCCTGCAGGCATTGGTAAGACTACTATTGCTAGAGCTTTGAAAAGTATACTCTCTGATAGGTTTCAGCTTACTTGTTTTCTGGAGAATCTTAGAGAACACTATCACAGTGGTCTTGATGAGTATGGTTTGAAGTTACGTTTACAAGAAAAACTTCTTTCAAATATTTTGAACCAAGATGGTATTAGGATATCCCATTTAGGAGTAATAAAAGAGAGACTATGCGACTTGAAAGTGTTGATCATTCTTGATGACGTGGACGATATAAAGCAAT